ATTAAGGAACATGAGACAAAATCGACAATAGAGCAAATAGTCACTGCGTAACGATCGCTTGAAAAGGTATTTCGTAGATGTATGGCAACCCGAGGAACATCAGAAACAGGTTGTGTCCCTGAAAAAAAAAAAAAAAATTGCCCCCCCCCCCCCCCCAAAAAAAAAAAGGCTGCTCTGCGTACACTTTCGAAGTTGAGATTGGCGCTCTTCGTTGAAAGGCCGTGAATGAGAGTCTAGAATAGCATTTCCTGTATTCATTCTACTGGAAAGATCTCTGGCGTGGCGATCATCCAGCTGGCATGGAAGTGAGATGTGTATGATGATCGCGGCGTACAATGTTCTGTCGACTTAGCTCGCTGCGTGCACTTTACAAGCTGCCTTTATCGGCTTAAATATCCATTCAATACGATATTCCTAAACGCATACGCAAAATCGTTCCGAAAATATTACTATGAACAGTTAGCGACGTCTCTGGGATGTGCACCGACCATCGTTCCCGTGTGGACTGTGGATCGCCTTGCTCGGAGTCGTTTCCCCGAATCTTGTGGTCATCGGTGAAGGAGCCGTGAGGAAACTGCGTGACATCCGAGGGCCTTCTTCATTTCGGCCAAACTAACAGTTCATTGGTTGAGAGAGCGGTGCGTCGCTTCTCGGGGCCCCCGTCCTCGTCGAATCTGTCGGCCGTCGTCATCTCGCCTGTCTCGGCGGTGACGCGAGGCCGCGCTTCCTTCTAACGGAGCTTCGTGGGCCGCTTTTCATTTATTTATTACGCCACGACCTTCGTTGTCCGTTTATTCTCATGGGCCGCGCTGTATAGGTACGTGGACGGCGATGACCGCTTCCGAGAGTCGCCAGGTATGAGAACGTTGCAACACAAATGCGCGGCCTGACGTCATCCCTGCATATTGAGGTTAGCGACAGACGAGACTATCGAGACAGTAAATGGCCATGGAAGCGTCTGCACGCGTTTTGTCGCTTTGCGGATATCATTGGGGCCAGATCTACGCGACGTGATCACTGAATTTGATAATAATAATAATAATAATAATAATAATAATAATAATAATAATAATAATAATAATGTTGTTGTTGCTGATGATGATTCTGTGAGCGCATGAGGTAGATGGGGTCAAGGGGTGGGATAGCGCGATTATGCTGTAGCATATCCTGAGGCGGAGACAAGATCGACCATGGAACTGTAGTCCTGCGACTGATCTCGTCTGCGTCGTATTTCGCAATGTGCACGCTGTGATGGGCCCGAGGCGAGGAGCTACTGCATGGCGCCCCGGCGTTGCTTCTCTTTTACGACTATACGATACCGGGGTGCCGCCGATCGTATATATATACAGCGTCCTATACACGACCGGTCGCCGATGAAGCTGGACCGCGCCTGTTCTACGTTTATGCAATGCACCCTTATGCCTGGAGGCCCAATGCCAGCCTGCTGCTGCAACGGACGTAAGGTTCGTTCACGCACTCCGGATACTGGTCCGAATGTCGGAAGATCAACGAGGATTCGGACGAACGCCCACCCCGTTCTCACTTAGATATCAGCGCGAGGAACTGCGTCACTGCGATTTCGCTGCGTTTCGTTCACCTCTTTTGTCATGTATGTCACAGTGTGTCACCCGCCGCCCAGTACAGTGCGCTCATCAACCGCATTCTTATATCAGGCCAACGCTTAAACGCATTGAGAAAGAAAGAAAGGAAGGAAGGAAGAAAGAAAGAACTAAAGAATCACAAACTCGGGGAAACAGTGTATCGCGGACGCTTCCCGGAACAATAAACCCAAAGTAGCAAGGGGTGGGGGACGACGAGCCATGGCGCGAATTTGTGTAGAAGAGCGCGGCTCGAGTCCGTTAGGCCTCGTTACGCACACTTCGCCGGTCGCGGCGCAGAGTTTCTGAGGCGTCTGAGTGTGGCGCCCGAGCGGTGGTCGGAGTCTGCGTGGGGCCACTGGACCGTTGGCCGCAGTCAGACGTAGCTCCGGCGAGACATCCGCCTCAACAGATCGCCCTATTCTGTGGAAGCACTGAGGCGCATCGGCAGTCTTCACTTGGGCAGCTTCTTGCACGTTTCTGCAGCATGCGTGAAAGGACGCTCCTTGACAGTGGATTCCCTCAACCCAGATGAGGGATCAGCGTGAACTTACTGCTTTGACGCACTTGCCGCTCTTCACAGCTCGACGAAGTCTTTGAACATTTATTGCTGTCATCAGGTATATAACCTGCGCGGCTTTCGAGTTGTGCTTCTTCTTTGCGTTGCACAAATGCTGTCCAGTTAATTTGCCTGGTGTAAGTGTTTTTCGGTAAAATAAACAACAAGCCGTTGCTGGTTTTATAAAGCTACGTAAGGAGGATCAGTCGCTCAGTGAACGACATCATGTGGTATACTTATAAAGTTAGTACTTGCGCGTCATTGTTATGCCGCGCCTGAAACAGCCCTATTGTGTCTAGCACCAGTGTAGTACATAATACTGCAGATTTCGTTTTCGGTGACAAATTGCGTGCGATTCATACATCACACATGGAGTTTTTCTCTATGGGTTTGTTGGTGGCTTAAATGTCAAAGTTAAGCGTTCTCAGGCTCTCACTCTCTTTCTCTCCTGTCTACGCAAAAAAGTATTAATGGAAGGCTGAACGAATGCACATATAGTGCAGAAATTAAAAGTATTTATGGAAGGCTGAACGAGTGCATATATAATACAGAAATTTGCGTTTGCATGCTCATTTCCCAAATCTTATATTCGTTAGTTTGTCTAACGCTGTTAAAAAAAAAAAAAACATTCCAGACACGGATGTTTAAGCCGCTCGGCTGTCGAGTTCGTGTTGTGCGTGGTGGTTTCCGGTGGCGACGAAAGCAGCAGCAGCGCATACCTATCTTAACTGGGACAAACGGGCTACTTGTTGCGTTGTGATTGCGGTATAGAGACACGAGGGCCAGAAAAAGCAGGCAGCAACAAGCGGTCGTTTTCACCCTCAGCATTCATTTCCGTTCGTGTGACTGTGCATATGTACACAGCAGACAACCTGTACACGCTCTTTGGCGGTACGAAGGCAGGCGATCGGCCTGCATCGGATCGGGTGCGCTGTGTTGTGGTGTACAGACCAGGAACAAAGCCACCGCTGCTCCGGAGACCTCGCGTACGCGTCCGTCCGATAACAGGTCTTGCGCTCGAAACCGGTTCGGAGTGCGTTGCTCGTGGCACGCGCGTCTTTGCGGCAGAGCGCATGTAGCGCGAGGAAACATCGGCCTCGAAAGATGGCGACCAAAACAACTAGCCGCTCGGGTCAAGCGGAGAAAGTTTTGCCCACAGAGTGCCTGCCGCCCTTTTGTCTCGTAAATTATGCGCTCGTGTAAGCCGCTATGCACGGAGTCGGTGGACTCATTGTGACCTGGTGGAGGATGCGTCGGTTCTTTCATTCGCCGCCACTAATTTGAAAGACGTCCTCTCGCTGCTCTCGGCGATTTTAAGCAAGTCTTCTGGCGCTGCGATGCGTTTGGGTGACATCCCCGGTAGTCTGACTAAACTTCGCCTTGTCTTCCACCGAGGGAAAAAAAGCGCGGCTGCGTACGGAGGCCACGGCTCACGCAGTGCTCGCCTAGTAGCGCGTCCATGTCGTCGTGCGTGACGCGGGAGCTCCCGCGAACCTTTTACCGGCAGCATCGTCGAGGGTGTTGGGCGCGCCTGCGCATATTTGAGCTGAAGCATTTCCGTTCATCGTGCGTCAGCCCTGGTTGGGCCTTTTTTTTTCCTTTTTTCTAGCATAGAGAGAGCAGTCATGCGTGGTGCGTTTTCCGAAGCTGTTAAACGCCAAATATTCGCGGGAAGCGGCCAGGGTCTTCTGGTCGTCATTGTCCTCGCGTGTGCCACGCGCAGTGCTAGATGTGCTAATGCACGCGCGAGTGCCGCCCAATAAAGCAATCAAAGGCGACAGCGAGCTGTAGTGCCAATTTCCGACGGCTTGGCAGTCGTCGTGATGGATGCCACCGGTATGCGAGCACCGGGCTTGGTTGTCGCCCGAAGGCGGAAAGCCCCGCCCGTAGGGCGACGCCCGCATTGTTGCTCGGGCACTTTACGACTGCTGTTTGTCAGCGCGAGCTTCCCATTCTCACGGCACCAACGGGAAATGCGGCCGGCGCATGCGGAACCCGCGGCTCTGTAACGTTGCTGGACCAATGGTCGCATATTTGGTGCATCCGCTCCGTCGGAGCTGCGCAGTGGTCGTATAGCTGCTGTGAAAGTGTTTTCGCCGCACCGCAGATGGCTGCGACTATCCGTCTTTGAGTTGACACCCAATCAGCGACACACTTGGCGTTTGAGGACGTCGGCAGCTATAGCAACAGGTGCGGACATTTAGCTGTCCGGTTTCTCCGCGACGAATCCTAATTACAGGAACTGCAACTCAAAATTAAGCAACACGAAGTGCGAGTTAGCTTGCAAGTCGCATAGTTAAATATTACGTGCGCCAACACAAAATGCAAACGTTGGTAATGCGCCCTACGTTACACGATTTAGAAAGGTCGCCCTCGCGCGTGGGAATCGCCGACGTTTATGAGTTGGCCAACAGCCGTAAACCAAGCGAACCGTGCAGTTAGCTACCGACACGCGAACCGACGAAGCGAAGTCTAACTACGGTCGACTGACGTCGGCGGAGTTGCGTGTGCTCACTCGTTGCACCTGGCATTTCTGATCATCGCCGCGTATCAATCGAACGTTGTACGCCGTGCGCGTAGCGTTAGTGCCTTGTCGCTCGAGCAGGCATGACGTGCAGCTAGAGAGAGTCAGTTCACTGGACGCACGTTATATAAGTGAAATGTGAATTGTGTGCGGCAACACAGGATACAGAGAAGTGAGCTTCTTTACTCACACCTAATCATGATGTTCGCACTTTATAGCACGCCTTGTTGTGGGCAAGTAACGTACTGAGTTTTGTTGGTCTGCAAGTAAGTGGTGCTGCGGGAGCACATAAAACGACCTTCTCTCAATGTCCTCGCAGGGCCCGTGAGAAGCTGCGCCCCAGGAGCCTGAGCGTCGAGGGCGGCCATGGCGCCGGCCAAGGGCGTGTCTGCGAGCGCCACCAGCCTGGCGCACAGCATGATGATGCCCCGCTGCACTATGTCGATCACCCGCACCAAGGGGCTGCTCAACATGCCGGGCCAGAACAACTGCTTCCTCAACAGCGCCGTACAGGTATACGCTTATGCACGGCCACTCTCTTTCGGACACGTGTTCCCGTTCCAACCTAAGTATATAGACTACTTACTATATATACTTACGTTGGAACAGCGAGTATACGTCAGATGCGCAGCCAGGCTTGTGTTTGGAGCAGAACGCGAAGAGACAATGAGTATAATAGAGTGCTTGGAGTCTTCCATGTCTTCGTAATTATCTGTTCCCGCGGTATTCCAATCGCGCGGATCTCGGATGAACTGCTTTCACATGCATTCAGAATTAAAGGAAAGGGTTCCACCTCGATGTGTCGCTGCCTGAATTATGATAATATTCAGACTTATGGCGTTACTATTATGTGTAAATAACTCGAGTTCAATTCGTTCCCTGGGATTCGGAATGTGTACTGGCGAATCTTGCACTCCGACATTCTCTTCATGTTTATTTTTTATTTATTTACAGATACTGCAATCCACATAGGGGAGTTTAGCAGGGTTGAAATACATAGTTATGGTAAAAAAAAATCTCAGGTAGCAAAACAACAAAGGGCAGCAAACATTGCTTCAAAAAATACAAGTATATGGGTTTCGAAAAGAAAAATGCATTATTTGTGCTATTGTACATACATATACAGAACGCATAAGGAACATCAACTACAAAAAAAGGGCAAAAAAGAAATACATATGTGAATGAGATCATGTTCACATGTTGACTGGAACACGCGAGGTCTCTGGCTTCAAGTTTAACGTGTTCGAAATTGTGTTGACCTCCTTGAGCGAAGAAACGTGGACGGAGCAGGAGAATGAACGCAGTGGCTGAGTAGCCGCGAGAAGGGTGTATGTGCCTCGCCATAAAGGGTTTCACAAAATGAGTAAGATGAATGAGAGGGCAGCGTTCATCGTCACGCGTGAAAGTCACGAGATGCTCACAGTTAGCAGCACGCGAATGATCGGGGCCTCAGAGCATTCGGGTGTTGCAAATAACCTGTTGAGTAAAAGCCTCAGACGCCATTAGGGTCGCGATCCCAATACTGAGGTCGGTGCGTTATAAAGGAGGGGGATGCGCATTGACAGATCGATAGTTGCTGAAATAAACAGATTAATGAATTCGCGTGGGCACCTCTCCTACGGCGCTGAAGTGCTAGGCGAAAACGCGCTTTTTGGGAAGTGCTTTTCGTCGGGCATATGATTCGCAGTGAACCTAGCCATGGAACCTTTACTGCCAAGCCACTGGCGAAGGCTGTGCACCCCACCACGCCCACTTGCTTCGTATAGTTGTAGCGGACATCTAAGACCCGAGTTCACGAAGATTTACACATTCGCAAGACAAAAGTTTTGCCAATCTTGACGCTGGACGTATTATCACTGAAGGCGTCCAACGAATGGCAAATATACAGGTTGTCCCACGTAACTTTAGCCAGAGTTTAAACATTTGTTGGAACACGTACGTAATTACGACGTGACCAAATGCATGTTGCTCACCGTTGCCTAGAGTTACTTAGACTAATTTCTGCGTACTGAAATATTGTTTAATTACATCTGTTTAATTAACTAACATTTGAAGGAATGAAGATGGATAAAGAATTTCAATGAGAAAGTTGTAGGTCGGTTTGCAAAACGTCCAAATAGATAGTTTTGATAAAAACTTTATATCTGTTGAGTATTAGTGTTTTTCTGGTAATTACAAATGCCCGCGAAATACAAAAATACCACGTGACAAACCCGCTCGCGCGTCAGTGCGCACGATGATTCTAGTGCTCCCTAACGTTCTGCGTACGAATGACCGCAACATTGGTCCCATTGTGTTGTCTCGGCAGGGCCGCAACGATGGTGGTTGCTTTACGATGAACACGTTTTGCTATCGGCCACAAAAACGATAACCGCTGCGACTGCTTATCGCTGTAATGAACCAGTGCGAGAGAAGCGTTTCGTTTACAACTTCGTTGTTTCATACGAAAATAAAAATATTACTGAGTCGGACAGATCTTCTACACCTTATTACGTCACGACGTGTCTCGCATATATCTGTGTAACCCTGAAGGAGGGGAAAAAAAAAGAGAGGCTTTGCCCTGACCTGCTTCGCGAGGGGACGGCGATCGCGGACCAATGTCTAATTAGTATCGGCTCTGTCACGCAATTGCGCGCCTATTGCGTACACGCACTTAATTGCGTGGCAGGCGCGTTGCAGCATTACAAAAATAAAGCGCAGAGATGGCATGCATGGCCGCTTTCTCAGTCACTCGACGCGAGCGACCCATTGAAGGAGCGCGCGAACAGGCTGCCAAGAATGTTTCCGCGCAAGACTTCCCCCTAAACTTGGCCCGCGGTGAAGAGTTGCTCGTCTACGCGACCCATTATCTCATTTTTTTTCTTCCTCTTCTTTCCGTCCGCCGTACGCGGTTTGTTGTACTATGCTTTCGAGTTTGCCAGGAGTGTTGAGCAGTCGCGAAAAAGACGACAGCGTTCCAAGACGCAGGCGGTAAAAACTATATGTGTGTTTTCCATTCAATGGCCGTTTATCTCATTCTTGACACGAGTTGGCATAGAATAGTTTACGCGAATAAAAAGCAAAGCAGGGAGTGATGGCCACACGTTCATTGAATATACGCTCGAGCGTTTTTCAAGTGTGTATAGCACCTCAGGGGTCTGGCTCGTCGTCCATCCAGTCATAATAATTAATCGATAAATATGAGTGGCTGTGCTCTAAGGATGCCAGATGATTAACATAGCGAGTATTGGGATTTATATAGCGAATGTGGCCTAAATACGAGAGAAGAAGTTGATAACAAGCCCTGACGACAAACGGAAATCCAGGTGCTAATGTTTCGGCGCGACACACTGGCGTCCGTTTTTGCGCGCATCGACAACAGCCAAATGTCTGTGGACACTATTCTGTCAAGTGCCCAAGAGAAGACATTGCAACAAAAGGCGACAAAAGCTCTGTTGAAATTCCTACGCGACAAGGACTTGAACAAGCGGCTGTAACTGCAATGTCACACGCCGCGAAAGACAAGACTGGACTGTGACCGAGTGTGCGCGCGTGTGCTGCCGAATGTACTGTGCTTATCTCTCTTTCTTCTCCGCTCTCTTTCATCTCCCCCATCCCATGCGCAGGGTAGCAAACCAGCTGCCTATAGGCTGGTTAACCTGCCTGCCGTTCTTTTCCTCCTATTTTCCTTCCTTCAAAAATGCAACTTCATTTTGATTAATGAATTTACGATGGCGAAATTAAGGGTTCCGAGCGAGTAACCTAAAAAATGACTTAATGTTTCATTTTAAGCGCGGTTATCTGGCTCCACAGTTGTTTCCCTGCTGTCTTGAAATTATCAACAGTGTATTCTTGCGGAGCCGCAATATTCGAGCGAACAAGAACTTCGCTGAAGATTGCGCAAGTTTTCGGTCAGCTGTGTGGCGGTGGCCCGATGCACGTGACCGTACGAGTCTCGTAGTATAATGGCGCTTGCAGCTTCGAAGACTGCACGGTTACCACGATCTGACCTGACGCACGCAATGCCGCCATAGGAGAAAGAGCCAGCACGAAGACCCCGCTGCAGCCCGGCGACCCAGTGCTGGCAAGGCGGTCCCCACCTGTCGCCGCCGCGGTCTCCGCCCCGGCGTCTCCGCACCGTGTGTCCTTCGAGACGCCCGCCGGAAGCCGCCGGGGAGGGCTTTTAAAGGGACGGGAAAGAAACGGTGCGCAAGAAAGCGGGCGTCGCCGCCGCTCCTTCCCACGGAGCACGCACTCACGCAGCTGTTCTGCACAAGCGTCAGTGGGAAAGAGAGCGCTCCTTGCTTCTCTTCCAATTTCTTTCTGGCGCTCACTTCATGCTACTCAGCCGCGCTCACGGTCGCCTTTCTCAGAAGAAAAGGCATCGGAAGAAAGCTGAGCATCAATGCGTCGACCGACCATCGCGCGGGGCCCGAACGATTTGTGCGTCGAAGCAGATGTCGTTGGTTTTTTCTGGTTCGCTCTCTTTTAGCCTTTCCCTATATGCTAGGTACACTATACAAGCACTATACGTGCACGCCTATATATATGTTCCAAGCTGCGCAGGCAGTTGCGATGACTTGGAGGCTGAGCAGGTAGTTCCTGGCACATTCAAATGTTGCATCACAAGCTTTTGAACAACTTAAAGACGTTATTCTTGGTTTCACCGAGAGTAATGGTAATGTGCAAGGCGTACGCGCAGGGTTACAGAGTGCAGAGACTTACTATTTTTAAATATTTTTTTTCTCTTTGCGGCTTAGTGCTGCAGTGACAGTGACGCTGTTTTTTTTTTCGTTTGCATTTCCATTTCGATTGTCGATAAAGCCTGCGTAATTATTCGACGTGGCCACACAAAACGCCAGAAAAATTGATAAGCATAAACTTTGCCATCACATCGTTACAGCGCTTTCAGGGCCGAATATTGCAGGCTTGCAATGTGCGCTCGGCCCGTGCTCTCGGCTTTCCGTGGTGTGAGCTCCCTCCCACAGGCTGTCATCCTACGGCCGTCCACTGAGGACGTCGTGTAGGAGGCCATCCATCACGCTCAGGGCCGCACGGCCAGCGGCCAAATGCCCGCATATTGGCAAACTGGGCCGGTACGCCGCCGCAATCACCGCGCGTACGCTTCGGCGTCAGCGTTGGCAACAGTAGTGCAGGCTTAGACAGACTGTGGCAGTACTATACTCAGTAGTTCCTACACTGAAACATCGATATAGCGAAATCGATAAAATAGACAATTTCCTTATATCGAAACTTCGTTAAAACGAAATTCGACGCAAATTATAATCACGAAAGGTAATGTTTGAACAATACGGCAGTACAAACTAATTTCAATGACGAGATAAATATTAATCTTTTTTTTTTGTCCTCAGATTCGGCAATCACGGTCGATGCTGTGCCGGCGAAGACCTCGTCACAAAGGCTGAACGTCAAGCGTGAATCTGAAACAAATGCAGGCCAGACGCACTGCGCATGATAACACGGAATAAGCGAAGCTATCGTTCCCGTTCTGCCACCAGAACTTGTCATCAATA